TATTTTTTAATTACCTCTCCAAAGAAGTTGGGAATCTCAGATTTCCTAGTGACTCAAAGCTTCTTCGTGCCTGGTAGTGGAAATCACACTTGCTTACTAGTTCAAAGCTGAGCTACAACTTCAGCCCTATGTTCTCTGTCCTGCCGTGGGCAGGCAGCATGCTTCCCACATTGCTGGGTGGAATGAAGGGATACTTCTGGGAGTCTGGCACCAGAAATGTTTGTCATGAATACTTTTGGCACCCCTCTCACCTTCTTTCTCTCTACAGAGCTGGAGAAGCAGCTGGTAGCCCTCATTCCTTATGGGGACCAAAGACTGAAGCCCAGACACACGTGAGCACCCCTTCTTCCTCCTGCTCCACACACCATCACCCCTAGGAGCTGTTTCTGGTCTCCCCTGTTTTGATCTTTCCTAACTTTTTTCCTGTTGGTGTTTCTCCAGAAAGCCTGAGCCTTGCTGTGCTCAAACACACTGCTTCCTTGTTTTGAAGAATTTTCTTGGTTTAAGAACAATAGTATCAGCCTTTAATCCCAGCATTTGGGAGGTAGAGGTAGGTGGATCTCTGTGAGGCCTAGTGAGTTAGTGAATTCCAAGAGCTGGAGCTTGTCAAAAAGACAAAAAACAAAAACAAACAAACAATAGCTCAGGGAGGCTGGAGAGATGGCTCAGTGGTTAAGAACACTGACTGTTCTTGCAGAAGACCCAGGTTCAAATCCCAGTACCCACATGGCAGCTAACAACTGTCTGTAGCTCCAGTTCCAGGGGATCTGACAGCCTCTTCTGTCCTCCGTGGGCATTGCACAACACAGGTGCACTTACCTGCATACAGGCAATACATACACATAAAATAAAAATTTTTTTAAAAATTTAAAAGATTGTAGCCCAGTGGTAGTGTGTTGTTTAGCATCAATGGGGCCCTGGGTTTGATTTCTACACTCACACAAAAAGTATCAAAGTTATCTTAATTATCCTGTTGTACAGTGTAGACATATATTGAGTTCTGTCTCTTTAATGCATATATCAATTTTGAATTGGATTGGTGGATAGTATCCTATTAGGAATATTGTATTTAATTAAAATTCAGAGCTCTCGAAGATTCATCGGACCAATTTCTTGTAATGATAATAGCGTTCATTGAGCTCTTGCTGTATGCCAGGAGTGGTGATCTTGATTTTTTTTAATATTTTATTTATTTTTAAAATTTTATTTATTATTTTTTATTTTATGTGTATGCATGTATTGTCTGCATGTAGGTAAGTGCACCCATGTCGTGCAGTGCCCGAGGAGGTCAAAAGAGTCTGTCGGATCCCCTGGGACTGGAGTCACAGACTGTTGTTAGCTGCCATGTGAGTGCTGGGATTCGAACCCGGGTCTTCTGCAAGAACAATCAGTGTTCTTAACTGCTGAGCCATCTCTCCAGCCCATGATCTAGATTTTTTGAAGTTAAGTAATGCTGCTCAACATTATTGGGTCAGTGGGGACAGACAGCTGGGAATGGAAGCCAGGTTTGCCTTCCAGTCCTATGCTGGACCATGGCTAGAAAGCTAAGTGTGCAGTGGCCAGGATATGTCAGGAGAGCACCTTATGCCTGAAGAGGCCAGTTTGATTCCCCTCCCCTGACTTCCTTGGTGTTCAGACTTCTCCCTTCCTCCATCCCGGGGGCTGCTTTCCCACAGGAAGCTCTCTGTGTTCCTGGCGGTGCTCATCTGCCTGCTGACTTTCTCCTTCATCATCTTTTTCCTGTTTCCCCGGTCCATTGTCCTGCACCCTGCCGGCCTCAACTTCTCCACAGTGGTCTTTCATGATACTGATGTCCAGCTCAACATCACGGTGAGTATTGGTGCTCTTGATCCCACCCCTACCTTCTCCACAATACTTCCCATGTAGCCTTGTTCAGTGTTGCAGCCTTAGGTATCGGTACCAAGAATCTTGTGGAATGCAGAAAGGTGCTGAATGGTATACAGGTGCAATGCTACATGTTTCCCCGAAGTCCACATACCCATAGCTCTCAAAGAGCTGCTGTTCTACATGGCTCAGGTAGCAGTTGGTCAGGGCACCCCTGGAGAGGAAGCAGCCCTTGTTGCCAAGGTATAATAGGTTAAATGAGATTGGATCTCTGCATAGTGAAGGGTCAGAATCTGGGCCAGATAAATCAGGATGGTGGCAGTCTGGAATGGAGAGAAACTGGACAGGATGAAACTGGATCCTGAGCTAGTAAACTTACTGAGTGATTGATTGATGGGTTCTCACTATGCTACCCAGGCTGGCCTTGAACTCCTCTTAGTCAGCCTCCTGATTAGCTAGGACTTAGAGAGGTATACTACCAAACCCACCTTAGTGTAACTTCTTAAAGGGGAACCCATGCCATTAGGAGCCCTTCAGAGTAAGTTCCTGGTACTAGTCCTTAGCACCTGAGTCCCACAGGGGTAGGGTGGGACTCGGGCTAGAGAGCCAGGCTTCTGCAACTGTTTGAGTTCTCCATTCCAGAAATGAGCCATCCTCACCACTTCTCCTTTCCTTCATCTTCAGAATATGTTGAACATCTCTAACACCAACTTCTACCCCATCACTGTGACCCAGATGACTATCGAGGTTCTCCACCAGACCCTTGTAGTAGGGCAGGTTTCCCACAGCTTCCTCCTACACATCGGTCCTTTGGCCAGTAAACAGGTAACTTCCCTCTTCCCAGACACCCCTGTCCGCAGGTGAGTGGATGTGTGTGGTAGTGGAAAGGGTGGGTTGCAGCTAATCCTGTGTCTCTTTGGTTGACAGATGTCTTACGAAGTTGCCAACACAATTTGGGATGAAAACACATAGTGAGTACCTCTTGATCTCTTCTCCCTTAACCTCTTCCCTGGCCTAGAAACCCAGCTAATATCCACTGCGGGGGCCGTGAGATGGTTCAGCAGGTAAAAGTGCCTGCTGCCCGGCCTGATGACCTGAGTTCAACCTCTGGCATGGTGGAAGGAGAATCAACTTCTGCAGGTTGTCCTTTGACCTCCACATGTATGTCATGGCTTATGTGAGAGCATACACACATACGAATGCGTGCACACAATAAATGTGGGTTTTTTGTTTTTGTTTTTTTTTGTTTTTGTTTTTTTGTCTTTTTGAGACAGGGTCTCCCTGTAGCCCCAGCTGGCCTGGAACTTACTATGTAGACCAAGCTGGCCTTGAACTCACAGAGGTCTGCCTGCCTCTGCCTTCCAAAATAAATATATTTTTAAAATTCAAAAATAAGCTGGGCATGGTGGCACACGCCTTTAATCCCAGCACTCGGGAGGCAGAGGCAGGCAGATTTCTGTGAGTTCAAGTCCAGCCTGGCCTACATAGTGAGTTTTAGGCCAACTGTAGCTACAGGAGACCATGTCTCAAAAAGACCAAAAGAAAAAAAATCACAAATAATATCCATTGCATTTGGATTTCTTTATGGACTCTGGAGTCCTGACCCCTTGTGGTCAGGACTGCAGTGTACAAGGGTGTAGGTCCCTAGCCTCTTCCTGATAGACATAGATGAGCATAGATGAGAATGCTAACAATCTGGAATTTGGTTCATCATTATGTGGCCCTGGACTCTTTGCTCTGAATCTCAGAGGAAGAAGAGTATCAAGTTTTCTTCTGAGGGAGAGGGCAGCATATGCCTGGGCCAAGAAAGTGGATGGCCAGCCTCACCTTAGAGGATAAGGGGTTTGACAGTGGCATCGTGGAGGCCCCTGATGGAAGGCAAGAAAACTGAGCTACAGGTCCCCTTTGAGCTTTCTGACAGTCTGCTCAGTGTGAAACATGGTCCATATTTTCTTTCTCTCAGCAAAATCTGCACCTGGCTGAAAATCAAAGTCCACCATGTGCTTTTGCATATCCAGTAAGTATGGCGTACAGCTCCTGTGTCCTCTCTCCCACTTACATAGTCTCACCTCGGCTCCATTTCATGGGGTAGGGAAAGAATCATAGCAGCCAACCTCGTGAATCTTTGTTGGCTCTAGAGAATAGCAAGTCTGGGCCCTTCTCTAGATCTTTCCTTGCTTATAAGCCGCGGTGTGACAGCCTCGGGTGTGTCCAGAACACAGGGCAGCTGTCCCAGTGTCTTGGTGGAGCAGAAGGAAGGGGGAGGAAGGTCTTAGCCAACCCTAACAAAACAGGGCCAAAGTTATCCTTTCCCTCCAAGACTTGGCAACACGGCCTACTTCCTCTCCAGGGGCACCCTGACCTACTATTACCTGAGCCGTTCAGAGCAGCAGCCCTTTGAGAGCTATGAATATGTGGACTGCCGGGGAAACATGTCAGTGCCCCACCTGGAGATCCCTCACCCATCCTGACCTGTCTGCTGCTCCTGTACTCAAGGCACCTGCAAGCTGGTCTACATCTCCCTCAGCTCCATGGAGCCCAAGGAAGGACTTTGCCAAAGGAAAAGTCTTGCTTTATTATGCCATCCCCCAACACCCTGAGCACAGGGAGATTCTGAAACATTAATGCCATAGGCGCTAACTCCTCAAATTTCTACAGGTTGCTTCCAAGGGATCCTGCTCTTGGTCTGTGTTGAGGAAAGTCTGACTTGACATTGTCTTGGGGCTGAGCATGTTGGTTTCCCAGCTGTATTAGGGCAGGTCTTCAGTTGGAATGAGAAGAAAGCTGTAGTTTTATCTGGTCTTTACAACATGAAAGACCCTTTTCATGTTCTCCATCCCACAATAAAGTGACTTTGGGGGCATTCAGTGCTGTCTCCAAGGTCTTTTTTAGGAGACCATAGATGATGTGCTATCTACTTTGATCATATGATAAAGTAATGGTGATGTCCTATTTCTAGTACTCGTTCTCTAACCATATGACAGTAAGGCCCTCAATCCTTGCTGGTTAGTGACTGTTCCTAAGAAGGCAGCCTACCTCTAAACCTCTTCTGTGTAGAATAGTTTTAAATGCCAGGCGTGGTGGTGTGCACCTTTAATCCCAGCACTTGGGAGGCAGAGGCAGGCGGATCTCTGTGAGTTCAAGGCCAGCCTGGTCTACATAGTGAATTCCAGGCCAGCTGGGGCTACAGGGAGATCCTATCTCAAAAAGACCAAAAACTAAATAAATAAGAATAGTTTTAATATTGTCTTCACAGCAGGAGCTCAAGTAGTTGAGGGTAGGAAGCCTCCTGGTATAATGCAGAATCAACATTTTTAACTTTTAAAAATTTTTATTTATTTATTTTTCTTTTTGAAAACAGGGTCTCCTTGTAGCCCCAATTGGCCTGGAACTCACTATGTAGACCAGTTTGGCCTTGAACTCACAGAAATCCGCCTGCCTCCCAAGTGCTGGGACTACAGGCATGCACCACCACACCCAGCTAAAAATTTTTATTTTATGTGTATGAGTGCTTTGTCTTCATATATGTAAGAACACCTGTGTGGTGCAATATGGTCAGAAGACAACATTGGTTCTCCTGGAACTAGAGTCACAGGCAGTTGTTAGCAGCCATGTGGGCGCTGGGAGCCCACATTTTTATCAAGAGTAGCCAGTGCTCTTAACCACTGAGCCAGCTCTCCAGCCCCCTTTTTGAAATTGAAAAAAAACAAAAAAAAAAAACAAAAAAAAAAAAAACCCAGGTGTGGTGGTGCACACCTTTAATCCTAGCACTTAGGAAGCAGAAGCAGGTGGATCTCTATGAATTCAAAGCCAGCCTAGTCTCCATAGTGAATCCAGGCCAGCTGTGACTATAGGGAGACCCTGTCTCAAAAAGACCAAAAAAATAAAGTTCATTTTTAAAAGTATTAAAAGAAAGTTTCTAAACCCAAAATCCAAAGCCCATGTGAGTAGACACAGGCAAATCAGACAATAGGCACATTTGCTATGTTCAGAAAGCTTGTGGGACATGAAACTGTTGGTGTCAGACTGAAGCTGTGATCTGCCTCTACCCACCCTCTGTTACTGCAGCCTCAGCTGTCCTCCAGGCTTTAACTGTGAGGAGTGTCCCATCCACCAGGACTGGGCTAAATCTTTCCTTGCCCAGGTAACCCCCAGCTTCCCACTGGACTCCAAGTAGAGGTGATTTCTGTATTACATCAGAGCAGGGATGCTTGCTTGCTAAAACTGGCTAGCCTTTGTCCTTTAAGACAAGTGGAAAGGAAACACGCGTGGTGGGGAAAGCTGGATTTGAAGTAAGATGAACGGAGAGAGATCTGGTAACAGCTAGATAACTAGCTGGGCCTGAAAGGAGGAGGAGGAAGTCTGTTGTCACCAGGCTTTCACTCCTGGATAGCCAGGGTCAAGGTGATACCAACAAAGCACAGAGACCCTGGGAGGTCAGGCCATGGCTGCCGTGCATAGACCACCAAATGTAAAAGATTTCTATCAAATTGTATTTAGCAGTGTTTGAAAAGAGAAAGAAGGCATGTTATGTTTCTCTGGCCTCCAAGAGTTTATTCATGGAAGCTTTCTCTTTCATTGTGTATCACTAAACTGTCATCAAACTTTAACATTCCTGTTCCGTGCCAGTTTCCCATTCCATCCCAGCTGCCCTGCTCAGGAAACATCACTGGGCTGCACTGAGACAGGCCTCCTTCACTCAGACCCAAAGGTGATGGTCTCTGGACTAGAATGAATGACCTATTGGTCCCTCAGTTTGTGATTGAAGTTAGTAAAGCAGGCTTTCCCAGAATGGGAGAAAACTAACTATATAGTGCTTATGTCTCCCTGATCTGATACCCAGGGCCCCCCATGGGCTGGTGAAGGAGGGATACCTGGGGGCTTTTGGGAGCTTCCTGGCTCACAGTGCTAAATGGAAAGTCTGAGACCCAGGATGAAAGGGACCTTAGGATTTTAGAACACAAGCCCCTTGCCCCTTCCCAGAGTCATGTGTCCTGGGCCCAAAGCTACATTACCCTTTTCTCCTGAATCCTCTCTCTCTCCCCTTCTGCATCAACCATTTTGTCAGCTCAATACCCATTATGGTCCAGGAATTGCATGAGGCTTGGCCTCCCTGCCTGCCACCTCTTTCTCTTGTTGCCCCAGGCCTGCTCTGGTGCATTGCAGCCTCTCCTGCCACAGACCTGTATCTCAGTAAACCTGGGCTCAGGGAAAGGGCAGTGGTTCAGTGTTGTTCATAAACCTGACCTGAGGAGTCTGTTATCACTTGCTGGGCCAAGGCCAAGTTCTCCCCAAGGCTTGGCCTCAAGCAGCATCTATTTGCCTTCTACTCTCCTCCATCATCTCCATCATGGGTCCTGCCCTCATTGCAGGTTCATTGATCTGACCAGTCTCCTGGTCCTTTCCAGGTATCACATTTTAATCCCAGCTAGCTTCCTCTTCTGGTATAGGCAGCTTTGAGAATTGGAGAGGTTGCTGGGTGGAAAGAAAGTACAGTTGCTTGTCTGTTTTTTAATGTTTGGTGACATGGGGTCTTGGAGTCCATCTCTAGATCACCATTGCTGGATGTAATTAGTTGACTAAGAAAAGGGAGAGAAAGGAAGCAAAACAAGTTAGTTGTTTCTGGGTGTGCTGCTTTTAGAACATTGTGTTAGGCCCTGTGAGGCCAGAGGAATCACAGTGAAATAGGACAGCTGCTTCCCAACCTGAAGTTGATGAGAACTTATTCAGATGCTCTTACCCTCTGCCCCTGTATCACCGTCCTTCCCCTGGTCTACATAGTGAGTTCCAGGCCAGCTGGGGCTACAGGGAGACCCTGTTTGGTAGTCTGGCCTGGTGGCACAAGCTAAAATTTTAGCTACTTGGAAGGCTGAGGTAGGAAGATCACAAGTCCAAAGCCTGCCTGGGGTACAGAGCAAGTTCAAGGCCAGCCTGGGAAACTTACTGAGATCCTGTCTCAAAATAAAAAGTAGGGGGCTGAAGAAATGGCTCAGCCTTATAAGCCCTTGCTGGTCTTACAAAGGACTGGACTTTGGTTCCCAGCACTGACATCAGGCATCTCACAACCACTTGAAACTCCAGCTCCAATTGATCTAATGCCCTCTTCTGGCTTCTGTGGGCATCTGCACACACATGCACATACACATAAATACTAAATCTTTTTTAAAAAAATACTAAAACGGGCTGGAGAGATGGTTCAGGGGTTAAGAGCGCTGACCCCTCTTGCAGAAGACCCAAGTTCGATTCCCAGCACCTACATGGCAGCTAACAACCATCTATAACTCCAGTTCCAGGGGGATCCAACACCCTCTTCTGACCTCCGCTGGCAGTTCACAACATGGGTGCACCTACCTACATGCAGGCAATACACTCATGAAATAAAAATAATAAAGTTTTTTGGGGGGGCGCTTTTTGAGACAGGGTCTCCCTGCAGCCTCAGCTGACCTGGAACTCACTATGTAGACCAGGCTGGCCTTGATCTCACAGAGATCCACCTGCCTCTGCCTCCGAAGTACTGGGACTACAGGCATGTGCCACCACGCCCGGCATAAATTGTTTTTAATATTATTTTATGTGTGTAAGTGTATTGCCTGCATGTATGTGAGTGCACCATGTCGTACAATGCCCTGGAGGTCAGAAGAGGGCTTCAGATTCTCTGGAACTGGATTAATGATGGTTTGTAGCCACGATGTGGGTGCTGGGAATCGAACTGGGGTCCTCTGCAAGAGCAGTCAGTGCTCCTAACCACTGAGCCATCTCTCCAGATATTTTATTTATTATTAATCTCCAAATATTTTATTTATTTAAAAAATAAAGTTTTTTTTTTTAAATGATAAAACAAGGGGCTGGAGAGATGGCTCAGCGGTTTAGAGCACTGACTGCTCTTACAGCGGACCCAGACTCAATTCCCAGCACCCACATGGCGTCTATGAACCATCCTTAACTCCAGTTCCAGGGGAATCCGAAGCCGCCTTCTGACCGCGGAATTGCACGACATGGGTGCACTCACATACATGCAGGCAATACACTCATACACATAAAAATAATAAAAATAATAATTCAAAAAATCTTGGTAGGTGGGTCTAATAGCTTAGTGGTAGAGCACTTGCATGTCCAAGGTCCTAGGTTCAATCCCCAGTACCACAAATAATTTCAAAACAAAACCCAAAAGTGACTGTAAGAACTCTGTCCTCTCCCCACACTCCTGCTAAGGAATCCTCTTTGGGCTCCACAGGCACACTAGGGCATGCACTCAGTCAGAGCCCGTTTGTCTCTCACCGTGAGTCGGGAATACCCCTTGGAAGAGCTAGACTGGCATGCATTTGTGAGACCTGATAAGACAAAGCACAAGTCACTCAGCTGGCAGTTTCTGAAGATAGAGCACAGTCATGATGGACACCTGGATGCTCTGGGCTACAGGAGTAGGCCCCTTTCAGGGCCAAGGAACAGACTAAACCCACCCTGAAGATTCTCGACTAGGAAGCCATTCTGTGACTCCCTGTTCCAGACCTCACAGGGCTCAGTCTTTGTTGATATCCTAAAACTTACATCCCCCACTGTGCCCCTCCCCACCTTCCCTGTCATACTCTGGAAAAGGAACCAACACTCTGAGCTACCCTGTACAGAAGCTGGCTGACTTCTTTACTGTTCTAGATTGGTACAAACCCACCCAGAGAAAGAGGTCACCAAGGTTAGTTAAAGGCTGAAGATGCCAGGGAGAGTTGGACAGGCCAGAGAACCAATAGAGATTCTGAACTACAGGGCTGGAATGGGTGCAAAGGGCTCTCCTCACCACCTCCCTTCCCAAGCTATATTCACCATGGCCTGGAAGGATTGGGGGCCCATCATGTGGTCTGCAGATTTGCTGTCTAGCTTCATGGGCCCCCACTAGTCCAGGCTCCAGTCTTTGCATTTGGAAGTCTTTCTGGAGACTGTCTTTGAAGGTGCTCTGGATAGGAGGGTCTTGATCCTTCTGTTGCTTTGGCCCAGGTGGCACCTGTGGCTGCTGTTGTGCTGGCAGAGGAGGCCCTTTTGACCCTTGATGTGGCTGGGACTTTTTCTCAGGATAGTGTTTCTTCTCTTGGTGTTTTTTCAGATCCTAGTAAGAAACCCCCAAAAGTGACATCCTCTCTCCTCACCCATCTGCCAGAGAGGCTCTGGGTAGTGGAACAAGTGAATAGACAGGAGCCATCTAGGTGGCCAGCAGCATCTCTGTTCCCTGGAGTTAGAGGCTGAAGCTAGGGCCTAAGCTATTTCCCTTTCCCTAACAAGACACCCAAGAACCGATTCTGGGTGACAGTGTGGCTGGCCCAGGAGGTGGCACTATCTCAGCACCTACCTCCTAGGTTGAAACTGGCCATTGAAAGCACAATCGTTGGGCTGGAGAGATGGCTCAGTAGTTAAGAACACTTCTTGCAGAAGGACCGTGTTCAAATCCCAGCACCCACATGGCAGCTAACAACTGTCTGTAATTCCACTTCTAGGGGATCCGACAGTCTCTTCTGTCCTCTGCGGGCATTGCACGACCCAGGTGCACTTACCTATACAATTGTCAATGCTAGAGAAGAAAGAGTAATTCCTTACAAATGCTTCCAAATAGCACTGTTTGGTAAAAACAGTATGCCATGTGTGTAATTTTTTTCTTTTTTGGAGGGGGAAGGTGCTAGGGATGGAACTCAGGACCTTGTACATGCTAGGGAAGATGTCTACCACCAAACTACAACTCCAGGCCTGATGTTAAATTTTGGTGGCCACACACAAGACACAGGCGAAACTATTTATTTGCTTTTCTTTTTCCTTTTGTGTGTGTAGGCATATGTGGGTGTGTACATATGGGAACATGTATGTGGAACCCAGAGGACAGCCTTGGCTGTCATTCCTCAGTTTCCATCCACCTTGTTTGTTTTTTATTTTTTATTTTATTTTTTGATTCAGGGTCTCACTATGTAGTCCTGGCTGGCTTGCAATTTGCTATATAGACAAGCTCCATCTGCCTCTGCTTCATGAGTGATGGGATTAAAGGCATGCACTAGCATGTCCTGCTCCACCTTGTTTTTTTTTAAGATTTATTTACTTTGATGTATATGAATATTCCCCTGCATATATGTGTATTCACCACAAGTGTATAGTGCCTGCAGAGGCCAGAAGAGGGCACCAGATCCCCTGGAACTGGAGTTATAGATGGTTATGAGCCATGTGGCTGCCAGGAACGGAACTTGGGTTCTCTGCAAGAGCAGCCAGCACTTTTAACGGCTGAGCCATCTCTCCAGCACCCTCCACCTTGTCTTTTGTTTTCTTTTTTTTCCTTTTTCTTTTTTTGACTTTTGAGACAGGATCTCCCTGTAGCCCCAGCTGGCCTGGAACTCACTATGTAGACCAGGCTGGTCTTGAACTCATAGCAATCCGCCTGCCTCTGCCTCCCGAGTGCTGGGACTAAAGGCGTGTGCTACCATGCCTGGCCAGACCACACATCTTTACAACCTCCCAGGCTGTGCACATGCACTTGTCCCAGCTAGCTGCTGGGAGACTGAGGTGGGAGAATCACTTGAGACCAGAGGTTCATAGCCAACCCAGATGGTGTAGGAAGACCCCATTTCTTCAAACAAATCTATAGCCTCACAGACCTTGTAACCCTGTCTACCAGCCTACCACAGCAAAACTGAGCTTGCTTGCCTCCTCCCCCACAAACAGTATTTACAAGATAACAGTCCAGAGGGTTTGTCATTCTCCATTTGCTTCTTGCCCCACGGTGGACCCTGATGAACCTAGCCCCTCTCGTGCACCTGCTCTTGCTGCTGATGGGCTGCCTGCTCTTGCTGCTGCTGCTTCTGAGCTATCAGTTCTTTCCTCCATTCCAAAGCCATCTGCCGACGCCGGGCCTCCCAGTGGTAAGCACTTCCCATGATGGTGGGGTAGTAGAAAGCTCAGCAGGGTAGGGAGGGCAGGAAGAACCCAAGAATGATGATAATACCCCACCTACCACCTCTGTTGCCTCTCCCCCAACCCCACTGACTGTTACAAGAACCACCTCACAATGTGATCAGTGCCAGGGCAACTGGGGAAGGCCCTCTGACTTGTTGGAGGTTGAGGCAGTTTGTCCCATGGCTCCCAAGGAGCACCTGTAAATCAATGAATTTTGTATTCCAGATTCCTCAGGATGAATATACAATCCTGCCTCAGCCAGTGTCCCACTGGCCCCTGAGGACAATTTCACAATAAAACCTGCTCATTGTTCTCTTCTGGTTTCTTTTCCCCACCCTTCAGAAGAGATTTCTGCTGGCCCCGTCCTCCTCATAAGGTCTTGAATTACCTTGCCATCATCAGCCTTCCATTTCCCTTCTTTTGCTGTTCTCCCAGTAAATGTTTGTGTTGAGTGAAGATGAAAGGGGCTGGAAAGGCAGCTCAGGAGAAGCTTTTGCCATTCTTCCAGAGGATCTGGGTTCAATTCCCAGCACCCACATGGCAGCTCTGACATCTTCTTCCAGTCTTCGCAGACACTACACACCTACCAGTATACACATTGGCAATCAAAACACTTGTACAAATGAAAATAAATCAGGCCCATGTCTTTAATCCCAGCATTCAGGAGGCAGAGGCAGACGGATCTCTCTGAGTTCTAGGCCAGCCTGGTCTACATAGTGAGTTCCAGGCCAGCTGGGGCTACAGGGAGACTCTGTCTCAAAAAAAGATCAGAAAGAAGAAAAGGGAGGAAGGAAGGAAGGAAGGAAGGAAGGAAGGAAGGAAGGAAGGAAGGAAGGAAGGAAAAATGAAAATCATTAAAAAGAAAACAAAATACAAAATTCAGCTGAGCACTGAGGGGGTGGGAAGGGGCAGCCCTTGGATTCCCAACAGCCTGTCAGTTCTAGCAGTCTGTGTAGTGGGATCAGCTTCAGCTTTATTGACAACACATTTAATACTGGCAGTGTCACCTACTAGCTGAGGGAACTTGGGCAAGCCACTCGGTGTCTCAGAGCCTTTCTTGTCAAGGATGCTGTGATGGATAGCTTTAGTGTCAACTTGACACACCTGGGTTGAGGGAGCCTCAGTCAGGGAATTGCCTCTATTGGACTGGCCTGTGGCCATGTCTGAAGGGCATCTTCTTGATGAGTGATGTGGGAGGGCCCAGTCCACTGTGGGTGGTGCCACCCCTGGGCAGGTGGGCCTGTATTGCATAAGAAAGCAGGCTGAGCAGGGGCCAAGGGACCAAGCCTGTAAGCAGCGTTCCTCCATGGCCTGTGCTCCAGCTCCTGCCTCCAGGTTCCTGCCCTGAGTTCCTACCTTGGGCTCCCTGATGAACTGCGACCTGGGAGTTGTAAGACAAATAAACCCTTTCCTCCCCAAGTTGGTACTGGTCAGAGTGTTTTGTCACAGCAATAGAGAACAAACTAAGACAGATGCTAATATGCTTGGAAAGTGCCTGCCCACCAAGTAGAGCACACAGCTATGACAAAATGGTAGAAATAGCTCCTATGTGTGGTAGAAGGGGTGCATTGTCTTATTGGATCCCTTTCTCGTTCAGTAAAAGGGTGATAGGCCCTTCTCTCAACACTCAGGAGAGTCATCTAAGTACCTGATAGTGATCAGATGCAGTAGATGAAATTGACAGGACTTTTTGATTTTTAGTACTGAGAATTGAACTATGGTTTGCATGCTAGGCAAGCAGTCTACCAATGAACTATATCCCTGATGCTCTTTAACTGTTTTTTTTTTTTTAATTCTGAGATTCTCACTAAGTTACCCAGCCTGGCCTTGACCTTGAGACCCTCCTGCCTCAGCCTCCCAAGTAGTTGGGATTATAGAGCTTCATCACCAAGTCTGACTTGGACATTCATCTTCACATGTGTTTATCTTTGTATAAACTTACTCAAATATTTAGAAGGAAGTGAAATATTGTGACTCATCCCTATAATCTCAGAATTTGAGACTAAGGCAAGAGGATTGCTACAAATTCTGGGCCAGACCGAGCGATCTAGTTCTAGGACAGTCTGAGCTACAGAGTAGGAGCCTATCTCAAAACAAAACAGCAAGGGTGAGTTCAAGGCCAGCCCGGTCTACATAGTGAGTTCCAGGACAGCTGGGGCTACAGGGAAACCCTGTCTCAAAAAGACCAAAACAAAACAAAAAAACCCCAGCAACATTTAGATAAGAGGAAGTGAAAAGGTCTTCCTCTGTCTCTTAGTGGCTTGGACAAAGGAGGAGGTGGGTTCATTTTTTTTTTCTTCCTCTTCCTTTACTTTCCCTCTTACTCTTCTCCTACCTCGAAATAATATCCAAAGTTGAGATGTGTAGGATGGAGGTAGTGGAAGAGAAAAATGCTTCCAGACCTCTTAGCTGGTACTTAGGCTGGAGGAAGAGTTCTCAGAATGATTCTGCCAAGACTATACCCTCGTCATCCTCATCCCTGTCTCCTACCTCCCTTGTGTATACTGCCTCTCCCAGCCCCACTGCTGACCTCAGACTTCCCTCCTGCACTAGGCTTCTACTCTGAACCCTACTCCATGTATAATTGACCTTGGATGAATGAGATATTCTAAAACTATGGATGAAAAGGCTGAATGGTCTGTTAAAATTAGGGTGGAGCCAAGCTTGTACTTCCCCAAATGAAGCTGGAGAAACCATTTTGAATAAAATTATGGGTGTGGCCAGACTCAAGGACAGTTCCAGAGACAGTTGTATCAGCACAGTTCCAGGAGACAGATGATTTCAAGAGATATCTGGGTGAATGAGTGCCCTCCAATTTCCAACCCACTTTTTTTTTTTTTTTTTTTTTTGGTATTGTTTAGACAGGACTTCCCTGTAGTTCCAGCAGACCTGGAACTCACTATGTATACCAGGCTGGCCTTGAACTCACAGAGATCTACCTGCTTCTGCTTCCCAAATGCTAGGATTAAAGGCATGTCATACACACACACACACACACACACCTATGATTTAAAATTAAGGGCTGGAGAGAGGGCTCAGTAGTTAAGAGCACTGGCTGCTCTTGCAGAGGACCCAGGTTTAATTCCCAGCACCCATATGGCAGCTAAGAACCATCTGTAGCCAGTGCCAGTGGATTCTGCACCCTTTTCTTACCTCTGGGGGCACTGCACCGAAGGAGAGGGCCCCTCAGACACCCCCTCCCTGTTCCCTGAGAAAGGGCTGCCCTCTGCCTGACTCTGGAAATCCCCTAGACTCCATGAAAAACATTTCCTGGAACATCCTGTGGTGTGGGGTAGAAGGAAGAAAGTTCTGCTCCAGATAAACTAGCCAATGGCTGGCTATATAGGTTAATGCTCAAAATACTTTTCAAAATTTTCCATCTTCCTCTTGGCTATAGCACCTGTTGTGCACCTGCTCTGGTGGTTTTTGTGCTTAAAGCCTTGCGTTTCCACTGCTCTGGGTCGCAGTGCAGCTCCTGAGCCTGCCTGTGTCCCCAGCCAGTTGGTCTCAATAAAGAAGTCTTAATGAGTCTCAGTGTCCGAGTGGTCAATTCAGGGAATTATTCGGACCCCAAACAGCATGAGACAGGTCCACTTACATACATGCAGGAAATACACTCATACACATAAAATAAAAACAATAAAATATGCTGGGCATAGTGGTGCACACCTTTAATCCCAGCACTTGAGAGGCAGAGGCAGGTGGATTTCTGTGAATTCAAGGCCATCCTGGTCTACATAGTTCCAGGATGTTATAGGACAGAGTTTGTAAAAAATCACCAACACCACTTTAAGAAAAATAGCAAGGTAAATTTTAATTTTCGACCGGCCTGGCTGTCTATCTCGGGAGTAGAAGCAGCCCTGGTGATTGTCAGGTCAGAGTTTTTATAGGATTACAGAATTATTATTTAAACTGGACACTTGTGAACCAATCAGGTTTGTACAACAGCAGAATTTTGACTCTATTAATCAACAACCAATCATTATACAGACAAGTGATACAGTCATATAACGCTATTAGTTCATAGCCACTAAAATAGCAAAGAAAGAAAGAAGAAAAAGAGGAAGGGACTGTCATTAACTCAGTTCCAGGGAAATCCAAGACCCTCTTCTGACCTCCACAGGCATTGCACAACGTGAATGCACTTACATGAAGGCAATACACTCACACACATAAAATAATAATAAGGGGGGCTGGAGAGATGGCTCAGCGGTTAAGAACACTGACTGTTCTTGCAGAAGACCCAGGTTTGAATCCCAGCTCCCACATGGCAGTTAACAGCTCTCCATAATTCCAGTTCCAGGGGATCCACACAACACGGGTGCACTTATCTACATGCAGGCAATACACACATACACACCCTGTCTCAAAAAGACAAAAATAAATAAATAAATAAATAAAATATAAAAATAAACAAAAAACTAAGAGTCAGGCTTTTTGTTTAGGTAATTATAATGTTGGCATAGTAACACTGCACATATGTAGCTAAGATGACCTTGAACTCTCCATCCTTCTGCTTCTATCTTCTAAGTGCTAGCATTACAAATGTGTACCATCATACTCAGATATTACTTAGTTTTATTTTGTTTGTTTGGTTTTTGGCCTTTTTTGAGACAGGGTCTCCTTGTAGCCCCAGCTGGCCTGGAACTCAGTATGTAGACCAGGCTAGCCTTGCACAGAGATCTGCCTGCTTCCCAAGTTCTGGGATTAAAGGCATGTGCCACTACACCCAGCTTTGTTTTGTTTTGTTTTTAAGACAGGGTCTGGTGGGGCTGAAGAGATGGCTCTGTGGTTAAGAACACTGATTGTTCTTGCAGAGGACCTGGGTTTAGTTCCCAGCATCTACTAACAACTGTCCATAAATCTGATTCCAGGGAATCCAATGCCTTCTTCTGGCCTTCACCGGCATTGCATGACATGGGTGAACTTATATACATGCAGGCAAAGCACTCATACACATAAATTTTTTAAAAAAAGAGGGACCAGGCATTGTGGTGCATGCCTTTAATCCAGCAGCAAGACAACAG